CATGATTATGTGATTGAAAACATTTATCTATGGGATTGTTTAAGTACTGTTAGTTACAAGTCTTGAGACACAGAGTTACAGCTTGATGGAATCAGCTGGAACCGACATCTGTTTTATTTGTCCTACATTGGAAAATTGCATTCTATCTTTTGTATGAAAACCATCAGCAGGAGTAACCACAGTATATCTCTAAATCAGTCCTTGATCTGTACATTTCCCATTAGTTTTATTCCATGAAAAAAAAAAATCAGCTGAAAGAGTTTTCAAGATTAAATAAAATAAAATACCAAATAAAAAAGTATTTGACTTGCTTTAGAGATGTTGTTAAGTCTGACGAGCCCTGTCAGTAATGATTTATTCTGACGTTCTGCAATGCATTTGCAAAAATCTGTTGCAACACACTGCTGTATCCAAATGGATATTATGGAGTGGGTGTGAGACATGCACATTCAATATAAAGATGCAAGAGGGTATCTCATAATTACAATTAAACAAGGTAATTTAACAGTGATTTAATAAGGCAAATCCATCTCCTACAAACTATCTTATTCTCTGTATTTGTATTAACAGAATCTGGAAATTTGAAATATATTTCTTTAATACAAAATACTATTGAGTTAATCTGCAAAGAATATGTGAATCAAAACAATGTATTGTTTCCATAGATAATAGCTGTTAAATATTCCTTGCTAAGAAGACAGCTATAAGCAATTTTGGAATCTCTTAATTAAATAGTTTCAATATTATTGTCAGCATGAACTGCAAATATATATATATATATATATATTTAATATATATATAGCTGTTTAAAAAAAATAAAAATTTATATATATATATATATATATATATATATATATATATATATATATTTTTTATATATATATAGCTGTTTAAAAAAAATCGGTAATGAAATATAAATTCAACCTTTAAAAGAGATATATTAAGGGTTGCTGATCGAATTTACAGTTTAAATGAAGAGGTACATTTTTGACAGGGCTTTATGAGCACTGACAAACCAAGAATGTTGTCCCCATAAGCATAATTACTGTATACTACTTAAAACACAAGCTCAACTGTCTCTTCTTGTATCAGGGATCTGCTTTTTTTCTGTCATAACCCAGATTTTGTGAACATAGGTAAGGTTAGGAGTGTAAACAGATTGGTAAATTGAGAGCTATGCTTTTCAACTGAGCTCTCTTTTCACCACACCAGCGGAGGCAGCATCCACATTAATGTGGCAACTGCACTGATACATCTGTTGATCTTCCACTGAATTCCTCCCTAATTTGTGAACAGGACTGAGATACTTGAACTCCTCCACTTGTGGCACAGATTCCCCACCAACATTAAGAAAGCAAGCCACCTTCTTTTGTTTGAGAACCATGAATTCAGACTTGGTGGAGCTGATCTCCATCCCAGCTGCTTGAAACACTGCTGTAAACTGCTCCAATGCACCACATCATCCATATAAAGCAGAGACGAAATCTACTGACGAAATCACAGTGGTTATAGATGACAGCTCTAATGGTGTTAAACATATCCTGGAAAGAGGTCAAACTAAATGCAATGCGGACCAGACTTCTGCTTCACTTTTACAGAGACCGTATAGCCATTAGCTATACATTAGCTATCTTATAAGGAGGAACCACCACCCCAGTCTTCCAGTCAAGGAGCACTTTCTCTCATTACCACACAGTATTAAAAAATCATGTCAACCACTGTAGCCCAGCAACATACAAATACCCAAGTACTCAGGGTGAATCTCATACATCACCAAGGATGTTTTCACCTCTTGGAATAGATAAAAACAATTTTGACTCCAAGCATCCAGTCTCTGCTTCCCCCTGGAAATGTGTGACAGTGAGATTCAAGAGATGCTCAAAGTATTCCTTCTACTCTACAACAATGCCCTCAATCAACCTCAGCAGCAGCTCCACGCTCCCGGAGACTTTGTCAGATTTGCTTTGAGGCCTTTTTTCATGACCTATTTGATCTCCACCCAAACCAGAGTTTTTACCTCTGCAACTGTCCAAGTATTGGCATACTTGGCCTCACGGTACTGGTTTGCTGCCTTGGGGACCCCACAAACCAACAATACTCAATATTACTTCTTTTTAGCTTTACAGCGTCCCTGACATCCCTTTAGGAGTGGAGCACAATATAAAGCAACACTGTAAAAGTGAGTTTTACAAGAAAAAGCTGCTTGGTCACACATTGTCCCTTATAAGCAGTGTTAGGAGTAACACTGCTTATATAGTAGTTTTTGATTTGAAAAAGTTATCTAACTAATTACTTTTCAAATAACGGTAATGCTGTTACACTACCTGAAATATGATAAAGAGGCATACCTGACGCCAATGAGACGCCATGCTGTGGGCGGGTGTTCAGTATGCCTTGAATACAGAGAGAAGATGGCGCAGAGTCACTAATTAAATGACAGTGTTCCCAAAGAAGGGCTCATTGAAGTCAAAGGCTAAATGTTTTTTTTTGTGATTTGGTCATTATGTGCAGGAACAAAGACTTTAAAATTATCAGTTACAAGCTGTGATCTAAAGAAGCTCCTCATATCATCTAAACACTGACTGACAGCAGGCTGCCTTTAATCACCACGTTCTTCACTTTCTCAGTGCCACACTGTTTTAACTTGCATGGTATACATTTTTTCACTCAAGAATACTGGGATTATATTAATATTTTATAGTCAGTTAAAGACTTTCAATGTGCAAATATAAAAAGTTCTAAAACATATTTTTGTCCTTTTATTATAAAAAAAATCATCATCACATCTACATAATTATATTGCAACTCACTTGTCAAACTACACACACAAAAATTGGGCAGATTAGTAATAAATGTTTTCAGATGTTTAGTCCTTTTGATAAACTAATGAAGAAAAGCCATTGGGTCTTTAATTTCCCACAGGTGTGTAGGGGGCACGGCAAACTCATAAAAGATAAAGTGACAACATATATGAGCTTTTTTGCTCTCTGACCAACAGGAGGGAAAATCTCTCAACCTAGGACACAACAACTGAGACCGACAGAACAGGGCCTTGAACCCGCAACCTCCCGGTTACAGAAAAAATCCCTACATCCAGAGCCACGGTGCTGTTGAATCAATTTTTCCCCCCAGAATCAGTAAACCTTTGCAGAATACTGCAAGAAAAAATATTAGAGGCTGCAACGGGTTAGAAACAAAAAGGTCTACTGTCCAGCAGCAGATTGATAATCCTGAACATACAGCCATTGCTACTATTGAAATGTTTTGGTTCAAAGCTTAGTAAACTGTTAAAGTCTTTAACTCATTCCAGACATAAATCTAAGAAACTAACGTCAATAGACTCTCTCTATACAGTTTGACTAACTTGAGCTATTTTGGGACAATAAAAACTTTCTGTCACTAGATTTGAATTTGAAGTGCAAAGCAACAACATTAACTCTCTGCATTTAACCAATCCACCTGGGGAGCAGTGTGGGGTTAAGGGCCTTTGCTTAGTGACCCAGAGTGGCAGTCTGTGGTAGTGGGGCTTAAACTCAGAACCTCTGGATTCCCAGCATAATGCCCTAACCACTAGGCCACCACTCCCTGCAAGTTTACAGTATGTATAGCTATCGATAGAGATATCTATAGCTGGTAAAAATATTATCCAAAGTACTTGCATAATTGCAGGCAAAGTCTGCAATTATGAGACTATCAAGTCAATACTACTAATTATTGACTTGATAGTCTCGATACATACATGGTACACTTTTTATATTTTTAACCTCCCAATTGTGTAGCAGTTTGCAATGATAAATTCCATTTAAAATGTATGGACATTTGTTATGTCACAACATGTAAAAAAAAATATATATATATATGGAGACTTCAGCAAGGCAATAAACGCTAGCACAATGGCTTCATCTGTGGTAAACAAAATAATTAATCAGTTGAAGCGCAGTTGTGTCTATCAGTTCTGATTTACTATTGGCATCATGGGATTGCGTTGAGCAGAAGGAATTCCAAGTAATCCTGCCTGTTGTATGTATCAGAGGCTCAGAAGTCCACTGGTTTTGCTGTAGCAAAGTATCGCAGAACACTGTGAGAGTGGTGCAAAGATAAAATGCATAGAAACAATGCTGTGACGCTACTGAAAGAAGCATTTGGACTAGAAATAGAACACTGGAAATTATTTACAACATAGAGCTACAGAAAAAAAGTGTCTTAAAAAGCAGGACTTCAGCAAACTATACCAGTGATATGCTCTTTGCATGTTTATGCTTATCTTTCCACAAAAGAGGTCTTCAGTTAATGCAGCGCATAATGCACTGAAATTATACTGGACACTGCTGTCTAAGGTGCTCTGCTTCACATTAACTAAGTTTGATCAAGGGAACCCAGTGAGATCTCAGTTTTAAAGCTGGGCATATTGCTTTGATCTCTCAATATCAATATGAAAAGCCTTTCCATTGGGGTACAGTCCTGTGAGTTACAACAAAATACCTTCTATACACATTTCCATATGCTCATTACGTTGATAACCTAAGGCTTTGTTCTTTTGCCTACCCACAAAGCCACAGTAATATAATTCTGAAGAATTTTGGAAGCACAACTCACTGAAACTGCTATAATGTGAAGAGAGTTGACAGTCCTTCCCTTTTGGGGAAGTTCCTTGACAAGTCGATTCACTAAAGGTCCAATTAAAAAGAGTGGTGCTCTGGAACATTTCCATCTAGGCAAGTTAGGAAAAAGGAAAGGGAATAGTTAATGCACTTAGAGTACGATTAATTGTTGTAGCCTGGTTTGTTGTGACTCCTAATGCATTCTCTTGAAGCTAATATTAATAACATTCAGCAACTATGAGATAATAAATGTTTCTGAAAACCAATAGGGACTCAATCTAAATACTTTTTATATTATTAAAGTAATTATCTGCATAGTTAAGCACACAAAACCCAAATTATCATAATTGGTATTCGAGCATGAATGTTGCACTGACATTTTTAACTGTGCTCTCCTAGATGACCCCACTGTGCAGGGCCTGGACAAGTCTCGGCATCTTCAGACAGGAGAGATGATCATAATTGTCGTGGTCTTGGTCATGTGGGCAGGTAGGTTTGTTAAATGTGTGAAGTAAAAAATTTAGACTGGAAAGAGAATCAGAAAATATGAAAAAGGAAAGAGGTGAAAGTAGTGTCTGGCCTGTGTCTCATTCTGGTTGGGAGTGTGTGGGACCCAAGACAGGAAAGAGACAGAGAAGCCTTACATACGGTGGCTGAGAAGTGCAAAACACATTTACAATTCAAAAACACATTAACAAATAAAAAACAAAATAACATTTGAAGAAACAAAATTATATTTTACGAAACAATTTATTTTTGAAAAAAAAGTTACAATTTTTAAAAACACATTTACATTTAAGGAAACAAATTCACATTTTAAATAAGTTAGATTTTAGGTGAGAGAAAGTTTCATTTTAGAGAAAAAAAATACATTATAGGCAAACAAATTTACATCTAAAAAAAAATTGACCGTTCGGAAACACTTGTACAAGTGCAAAGACAAAACTGCAAGTGGCAAAACACATTTACATAGACAAAAACAAATTAACAAAAGACGGCTACACGGAAAGGGAATGTCCCAGTGGCCGGATGTGACGTCACGATTACCCTGACTTGTAGTACAAACAGCTCAATCTGTAGTCCTCCTGCTTCACGTGAAAAATCAGCGGCGATTGTAGATGGAAAGAATTGCACTGAAGCTGTTTTTCTTAAGTTTACGCTAACCGAACAATGTTTTCAGCCAATTTACACCATTTTGTTCTTCGTGCGGACGGTCTCTGGAACTTTTACGGGACACGGTACAAGGTGGCAGGACCAAGCAGCAGAGCCGGGCTCAATTCGTGGCAGTGGCTGCGGCAGAGCCTGCCATCGGAGAGGCCGATGGTGGCCGCTGCCGGCAGAGCCTGCCATCGGAGAGGCCGATGGTGGCCGCTGCCGGCAGAGCCTGCCATCGGAGAGGCCGATGGTGGCCGCTGCCGGCAGAGCCTGCCATCGGAGAGGCCGATGGTGGCCGCTGCCGGCAGAGCTTGCCATCGGAGAGGCCGATGGTGGCTGCTGCCGGCCGAGGCCACTTATTCGCAGATAAAGTACTCCGTTCCATCAAGTAAATGTGACATTATAAAAGTTTTAATGCAGTTTATTAAGCACTAACATCGCAATAAAAAGAAACCCATAAAGAATACATTTTAATACAGGTTATTAAGTGATAACATCACAATATATAGCCTATATATATATATATATATATATATATATATATATATATATATATATATATATATATATATAAAACAATCTAGTTAGAAGTACTATAAATAAGGCATTTGCCGAAAAACCGCAGGAAAAATACCCAAAAAATAATTAAATACCAAAGAAAAGTAATTAAAAAACTACATGACAAAATAATAGTGGCTCCGGCCAGTAATACGCCCGGCTCTGCTGCTTGGTCCTGCCACCTGGTCCGTGTCCCGTAAAAGTTCCAGAGACCGTCCGCACGAAGAACAAAATGGTGTAAATTTGCTGAAAACATTGTTCGGTTAGCGTAAACTTAAGAAAAACAGCTTCAGTGCAATTCTTTCCATCTAAAATCGCCGCTGATTTTTCACGTGAAGCAGGAGGACTACAGATTGAGCTGTTTGTACTACAAGTCAGGGTAATCGTGACGTCATATCCGGCCACTGGGACATTCCCTTTCCGTGTAGCCGTCTTTTGTTAATTTGTCAATTTGTCAACGGTCAATTTTTTTTTAGATGTAAATTTGTTTCCCTATAATGTATTTTTTTTCTCTAAAATGAAACTTTCTCTCACCTAAAATCTTAACTTATTTAAAATGTGAATTTGTTTCCTTAAATGTAAACGTGTTTTTAAAAATGTAAACTTTTTTTTTCAAAAATAAATTGTTTCATAAAATATAATTTTGTTTCTTCAAATATTATTTTGTTTTTTATTTGTTAATGTGTTTTTGAATTGTAAATGTGTTTTTAAAAATTTACACTTTTTTTTTCAAAAATACATTTGTTTCATAAAATATAATTTTGTTTCTTCAAATGTTATTTTGTTTATTTGTTAATGTAAATTTGTTTGCTAAAATGTAAATGTGTTTTTAAAAATTTTAACTTTTTTTTTAAAAATAAATTATTTCATAAAATATAATTTTGTTTCTTCAAATGTTATTTTGTTTTTTATTTGTTAATCTGTTTTTGAATTGTAAATGTGTTTTGCACTTCTCAGCCACCGTACTTACATGAGAAAACTCAGAGTTCCAGGCCCTTCTTAGTGAAGTTGGGGTTATTTAATACAATTAAAAGCACCAGTTTATTGCAGTCACATTAAATCAATACTGTACTAAATAATTATGAAAACAAATTTAGAGCAAATGTCTTCAAAATATATACAAAGTAATACAATATTCATCATTAAGGTTTATTTCTTTTGTACAGCCACAAAATCTTAAGCTAATAATACAACAACAAAAATCTTGAAAAAGAGCAATGACGTACCCGAATAATCTATCTAAAAATAGAACTAAAAGACTCCTTCTTACAACATATACCACATAAAAAAGAGTATCTTCTTTATCTTCATTTTACTTAACTTGATTGTAAAACATCATGTACTTTCAGTTTCATTGGCCTGAATTATTAAGTAATAAAAATAAATAAAGCAAAAGTAAATCTATATTTTAGAATGTTTTTAAAACATCTTGAAATTAAATTGGAAAACCCTGTTTTGTATTTTACTACTGTGTACAGCGATGAAACATGTTAATGACAATAATCCTTATTAATTCTACCAAATTCGCTTTTATAATGATAAGTAATTAATTTAAAACATCTATTGTGTTACTTTTTAAACCCCCTAGTAGATTTATGTTTGAAGATTTTCCTTCATTATCATTTCTCCAAAGAGTTTTTATAATTATCCTGACATTAATTGAAGTAACAGAGCAGGAAAAAAAGATAAAAAGATACACAAAGCTTGCTGTTCACTAAAATGATGAAAAACAACAATTTTTTTTCTGAAAAACATTGAAAGTTGCTCATGATAGGTGATCAGTGGAAGGATGCTGCTTCTCTTGGTGCCTGTGTCAGTTCTTTGCAGGATTTATTTTTTCTTCAAGACATTACCTTTACCTATTGCACCTCAAAAAAACATCCCACTAGGCTTGATGTGTTTGTATCCTCCAACAGGCTACTTTCTCCGTCTGTAAAGTACAAATTGCAACAGATAATGTTATGGTTAAATGAATAAAGTAAAGGAAAATTAGCCTCACTCAAACTGTTTATTTTGTACATGGAGCACACTACTATACCCATCACAAATTAATTAGAAAAATATTCTAATTCAATAAATACTTTAATCGCTAAATATTCCATTGTGTTGTTCAAACACCAAGAACAAGTAATCACTTTAAGAATGAATCTTACTTTTAATAAGCTACATAACTCTTTGGTCTTGTTTTCATCCCCATGTACATTCACCTCGACAGTATGGAAGCGAATTTCAATGCACAACACAGCTGGTCAATGAACTTTAATGTGATGAGCATTATCAAGAGCAATGTCTCTTAGCTAATTAAACAACATATGCCTCATTTGATAAGGTTTAATTAACATGAATGTCTGGCAAATCAAACTTTTGCTCGAAGGTTGTATTACCAGAACTCCATATTCATTTCTAAAAATACAGTATTTTTACCGAAATCCATGGCCTCAGAGATCTCATGAACTTAAGTCTGAATCAGCAATACTATTCAAACAGGAAGCACAGCTGTATTTGAAAGTCTGAGTAACACAAAAACCCAACTGTATTGCCTACCCATTAAATGAATGAAGGCAGCATTATTAAGCTCCCCGTGGAGCCAGTTCTACTACCCACAGGGTGTTTTAGTACACAGTGGAGCAGGAAGTGGGATTGCCAGTAGATTCCTCATGACTGAGTGGATGTCTGTTGTATAAGTTTTTCACCTGTGGCCTTCTTTGTCCCTCTGGCAGCTGTTATAGCCCTGTTCTGCCGACAGTATGACATCATAAAGGACAACGACTCCAGTAACAATAAGGAGAAGGTGAAGCCGTTGTCTGAGAGGAGCACACCAGAGCACCACAGTGGGGGACTGCTTAGGAGCAAGGTGAATAAGAAAACCATAACAAATATATATCTCTGAATAGTAACATTTCCTTCTATGAATAAAAAAAACAATGACTCTAGTATATCTGTTGAACATTACTCTGTGGGTTCTACTATTTATCATCATATTACTCCCCACTATGCAGGTGAGGGGAAGGACTACTACGGTGGGAGAGTAGAGGGACTTAGTATGAATCAGCAAGTACTGCGAGTTCTAAACTTTAAATACTAGCCTAAAATATGTACCAAGCACAGGTCAATGGAACTGTGTGATTGGTTTGTGTCTTTTTCTGTGTTTTCTTTAATACAGAACCATCAATAGCTTCCTCAGAAATATTACCACAGAATAATAATGGGAAGACTATCTGAAACAGCTATTTGCTTTATTGTTACCCCTGGGAAAGCAAAACTGATCTATATAGTACATTTCAGTAGCAACACAATTTAAAGTACCCCAGACATGTAACATTATGCAATTTTTCTTTGATGACTATTATGTACAGGTTATTGATAATATTTCAGTTTTGTAAAATATATTTGATCATAGTACTCTACTTATACTGTATGATAGGACCCAGCTCATCCAGTAAAAACAGAAAGTATCATTAAAAAAGATGTTAATGATTTTGAAGATTACCATTTTCTTTGTTTAGCCTGTTTAAGCTTTAAAGGGGTCCTAGAATGATTATATAGAGCAGAGGTCTTCAACAGGGGGTCCGCAACCCCTAGGGGATCCGCGGAGGTACTGCATGGGGGTCGCGAAAGTCTTGGTTGATTACTTTTTTTTATATTCCCTCCGGCAATTTTTTGCACTAATTAAAATGTCTTTAAATACACATTAACATGAATTCAACACACTGTAGTAAACAGATAAATGAAAGCAGAAGATGTCTTTCAGTCATCAATGCATGCATTCAGTGACACACAGGAGCTCTTTCAAACCTGGGCACCGTTTCATTCACAACACCTGTCCCATCAACCAGGAATCAGATTCAGAAATACTTTAATAATCCCAGGGAGAAATTACTTTCGTTACATGACTCCATATGTAATAGAGTGACTATACGTAGGACCAGTTTGATATAACACAATTTCATACAATATATATAATTAGGGGGTCCCCGCTCCATCTCGCAATCAGTTTGGGGGTCCTTGGCTTTTAAAACGTTGAAGACCCCTGATATAGGGTATTTGGTGCTGGTCCTTAAGGTCTCTGAATAGGGTGTGTAACATTGGTTGGGCTGAAAATGACATATTTAGGTTCGGGGGTCCCGCTGTGGGGTGGGTCGCCCCTGGCCACATCACCAGACAGGACAATGTTAAAAAAAAAAAAAGAAAGAAAATGGCATATTTGCTGTTCTATGCACCCTAATGCAAGCCTGGTTAAAAGCTCTAGAATGAAACAACACGTTTTCTTCCGTTTATGGTATGCTGATGAATATTTAGATGAGCTGTGTGCTGACTGGTTGGTTTAGAATGAACGAAGCCGCTGAGCAAAGACGCATCATAACAACAAGCACTCACTTACTGAAACATCGAAATTGTTGGTAGGGTGACCCGACGTCCTCTTTTTCCCGGACATGTCCTACTTTTCAGTGGCTCCCTCCCTGGCCTGCTTGGTTCGAATACACGGTCCAGCCCAGTCAGTGGCCCATTCAGCTGAATATAATAATATGAATAATATGAATATAATATAAATATATATAAACCTATAATATGTTCTTTTTACTAATGTTGAAAACTTATTTAAAATGCAGTTTTTTACTAAATAATGAAACTTAATTAAACAATAGGAACAAGGCATGGTGGTATGTTGTTGTCTCATTTGATCTTATTTCACTTATCAGAGAACATTGTAGGGTAAAAATCAATTTTATAAATTTGAGAAAAATAGATAATTAATAAAACGTAGAGTGGTTCAACAGGACTTTGATGATTTGCATCTTTGGTGATTGCACCCTCAAGAACCCTTCAGAGAGTTTAGAGCTGGCCCACAGTTCAATGGTCAGAAAAAAAGCCACGCTGCTCCTCCTGAAGCCAAGGTTTAACAATCAGCTGAACTCTCTTCCTTAGCACCCTGGCAAAGGCCTTTCTGAGGAGGCTAAGAAGTGCGATCCCATTATAGTTGGAACCCACCCTCCGGTCCTCCTTCTTACGCAGGGGAACCACCACCCCTGTCTGCCGGGGGACTGTTCCCGATCTCTAAGTGATGTTGAAGAGGTGTTTGAGCCACAACTTCCCAACAAAATCCAAAGCTCTAAGGTAGTCAGGGTGTATTTTCCCCGAGGCCTTGCCAATATGAGGTTTTTTGACCACTTCAGTGACTTCAGCCTGGGTGATGAACGAATCCAGCCCAGAGCACACCATGTCTGGGCGAGTGGTGGCCTAGTGGTTAGAGCATTGTGCTTGGGTCCCAGAGGCTCTGGTTTCAGGCCCCACACACTTCCACCAACTGCCACTCTGGATCCCTGAATAACCTTAACACCAGACTGCTCCCCAGGCACCAACAGAGGCAGCCCACTACTCCCCATTGTGATGCGTTAAATGCAGAGAGTGAAGTTCTCTACTGTGGGACAATAAAGGATTTCCATTTCCATCATGGAAATTATTCTCCAACGTATTACTTCCACCATCCTCTTTCAAAGTCAGCAGCTCCCCACTCCCATTGCAAACAGTGTTAGCCCTCTGGAGGCGCCAGACAGTTTGCCAGAATTGACTTGAGGCTAGCTCATAGTCTCTCCATTGCCTCTCCAAACTCCTCCAAGTGTCCAGGAAGCGACACACTTGGCCTCACAATAGTCACTTGCTGCTTCAGGAATCCCACAAGCCAACCAGGCTGGATTCCTTTGTTCAGCTTTACAGCATTCCTTACTGCCCGTGTCCACCCCCGGGTTCGGGGACTGCCTCCGCAACAGGCACTGCAGACCTTGCAGTACAAGGCGACAATGGAGTCATCCATACTCCATGTCTCCATCCTCCCCTGGAATCTGGGACAAACTCTCCTGGAGGTGGGAGTTGAATAAGTCCCTGACAGAGGGCTCACCCAAATATTCCCAGCAGACCCTCGCTACTTGCTTGGGCCTGTGGATCAATGGGTTCACATGTGTTTTGTGGACCTGGAGAAGGCATTCGATCGTGTTCCTCTCAATGCCCTGGGAGGTGTGCTTTGGATAGCTCCTTTACTAAGGGCTATTTCGTCTTTGTACAAGTGTAACAAGGGTTTGGTCTGCACTGCCGGCATTAAAGGCAGAGATATATTTGAGTGTGGGGTTGTCACGCCGGTCCCTGAGCACCATGTGCAAGCTTAAAAAAGCACTGTACATTTTTATAGTTGATGCAGATGTAGGTGCAGTACTCACAAAAAATTATTTCTAGGGGCAGCCAAAGGCCAAAGGGGGTCTGGTTTGGGCATGAGTGGATTTCATCCCAGCTCTTTGCAGATGATATGGTTCTGATAACACCCTCTTGCTAAGACCTTCAGCAAGCTCTGGGACGGTTCGGAGCTAAGTGTGAAGTAACTGGGATGAGAATCAACTCCTCCAAATCTGAGCCCATGGTTCAGACTGGAATAAGATGGCTTTTCCTTTCCAGATTTGAGGAGTGTTCCTGCCTCAAGTGGAAGAGGGGTCCAGCTGGTCTTGGGGTCCTGTTCTCGAGTGAGAGGAGGAAGGAGCGGGAGACTGAGAGAGGGATCGGTGCTGCTGCTGCCTCTATAATGCAGACTCTGCACCTTTCTGTTGTGGTGAAGAGCAAAGCAAAGCTCTCGATTTACGATTGGTTTACTTTTATACCCTCAACTATGGTCATGAAATCTTGATCATGAACAAAAGCAAAAGATACCAGATACAAGCGGCTGAGATTGGTAATTCAGAAATGCTGGGTGTACAGCCACTTCTCCTCCACATTGATAAGACTCAGCCGAGGTGGATTTGACATTTTTTTTCGAATGCCCCCCGGATGTCTCTCTCAGGAGGTATTCCAGGCAAATCCCACTGGGAGTAGGCCCAGGGGATGACTCAGGACACTCTGAGAGACTATATCTCTTGGCTGGACTTGGAGCACCTCGGGCTTCCCTGATCAGAGCTGGAGGCGGTATCTGGGGAGAGAAAGTCTGGGAGACTCTGTTAAGACTGCTCCTACTGCGATCCAGTCCCAGGTGAAGTGGACGACAATGAATACGGACTATAACCATTTGTCTTGTGTGATAGATGAATGAAACTTTACAGTGTCTTTAGGACTGAATTTAAAACAGCAACAAGCAGACAGGATTAACTTAATGAGGTATCTAAGCCATGCAAATAATGGAGGAGAGTCATACATCAAATTACAATACATTTTTCTTTAATAACATTGTCAACATTTTCTGAAATATTTATTTGTCATTTTCTGGGGGTTCTTTATAGGTTACAATACAATTAAACTTTAGAAAACACCTTAAAAATATTAGCCATTTAACATTGTCAACATCTTTTCTTGTCTTTGCAGTTCCATCCCTCTGTGCCATCTATAAACATCATTGAAGTCTGAGAAGAAGAGGGTCAAACTTGAACTACTATGTCTTCAACTGCTTTTTTATCTCCCTATTGAGGAAAAAAAAAAAACGTGGAGAAAACAGAGAAGATGTGGGCTACTTATAAGCCATTGAGTGATGAAAGGGCATTAAGAGACTGACTTTTTTTTCCCAGGACAACAATTACACATAAATAGGTGTTATGATGTAGACAGACCTTAAAATTGCTGAAATACTGTTCCCCTGTAGATTGACAGGACTTGATTGAATGTTAATCCATGGTGCAGAAACATTGATAGCTGTTCCAGGTGCTTGCTTTAAAAACGCAATACAAAATCCAGTAACCAATCATCTCTGGGATACGTATCTTTGTGGCGCTAAACACGCAGTGTATTTTTGATATTGGCATGTGCAGTTACATACTCTGTTCACCTCTAGACAATTGTGAGTAGTTTTCATACTGTATGCTGCCTGAACATAATGCTGTGTGGTTAGTGTGAGTAGGATATGAATAGGAGAGAATGTTTGTGTTAAAAAAAATTATCTCTAAATATAAAATCACTACATCATTTATTTTAGTCCAAACTTAACTGCCACTGGGTAACACTGTGTCTTTTCATACTTCAGATATAACAAAACATTTTTAGTTTGCTAAAAGAAAGTTGCATGCAGGGTGTGTAGAAAACCAACTAATGTGCAGACTGAAACTTAAAAAGAAAAAATGCATTTTCATAAGCCAAGAAGCTTTGTTGAATATTTAGTTAGTCTGCTTTTAGAGATGGCTGCAACATTTTAACATGTGGTTCATGTTTAATGTCATTTCCTGAAAACAGTTTTTCCTGACATGTATAAGAAACCTAGTTTTGAAATGGCTAATTATAAAAATTAAGGCAATGTAATAAAGTTTATCTCAATTAAAGCTATAAAATGCTTCTATTGTTTGGTAAAATACTTGCACATAAAAAGGCCATGCGATATTTTCAGGACTTTTAATTGCTAGCAAGAATTTAATGAATGAAATCCTGTCAACACTTATATAAATATGCACTTTAATGCAGTCCAGTCCTTAAAAGATAAGTAAAGAATATTGTAAAAGAATGATCACCAACCTTAATTTAAAGGGAATATATAGCTTCCAAATGTCCTTAAAAGGACAATTGTTTGCATGCATCTGTGTGATGTGATGAGAGTTATGGATTCTTATGTTGATGAAACAACATAAGAATCCATAACTGTATATTAACTGAATTCATAGCTTTCGTATTTATATTGTATTTTCACCTAAAATACAGGATGTTGGGACAAGGGTTTAATAATGCATTGAGATATGATGCAATAACCATCTTCTGATGCTTATTCGTCTGGGCCATGCATGGCTGTTGCACCTCTTCAGCAGTCTATGGGGGGAAAGCGAGGTACTCCCTGGACAGGTCAAAAGTCCATCCCATGTCAAAACAAAGAAATACAGCCATACATACAAACTCCCCTAAGGGCAAATAAGAGATGCCAAACCACCTAACAGCAATGTTTTGGGACTGTAGGAGGAAGCTGGAATACCAGAAATGAACCTATCACACAGGGAGAACATTTAAACTCCACGCAGAAAGACCCCAGGCTGGGTATCAAAGCCAAGACCTCCTTGCTGTAAGTTATCAATGCTACAAATGGGCCATCATGCAGCCTGGAATGCCATGGTGGGATTGTCATACCATTAAGAAAAAAAAAGTTGTTTTTAATGGTAATCAGACAGGAAACAAAGTCATTACACACAGCCCTTCAGATATGCTACTTTGAATAAATATAAGCCAAGCTTCCTCTTTCTGCACATCTAATACTGTACATAGAATATGAACTCCACTTAGGTTTCCACAAATATTTTTAGGTAATGTCAAAAAATTCAGCTTTTCTCTGCTAACCTGGCATAACCCAGATTGATATCATGAAGAGTTCATATGAACTACATCCATCAATCTGGAAATCCATAGGTAGACAGTGCTTGCAAAAGGGACTTTCAGGACAATTCTTCAATCTGAGTTTTTAGCTAATCACTGCACCAGTAGCAGCTTGATTTGTTTCACAACTTCAGGAGTGAAGGGTATAGGGGACGAGCTTTTATTTCCGGCTGGATCATCTAAATAAGTGGCTGTTGCTACCCTACAGTGGTGACTAACAACAAAGATGTTGCATGCCTCGCGCAGAGGCGAAGGAGTTAAGTGACCAATAGGGAACAGTAAACTTGTATGAGCTATCAGAACAGCAACTTTTAAACAGAGCGTGCACAAGGAGAAATGGGCTCTTGCATGTGTTAATTGGGGTTACCTCTGGGGGGAAGTTACAGGGATTTTTGTTAAGTTTAAAAAAAATGGTAAAAAAAATCCTCCATAATACCTTAAAGGGGTACATCAAACTTTTCATAAATCAGAGAAATATTAAAATATCTTCCTATCCGAAAAGGCATGCTTGTTATTCAGAAGAAAAACAAATCAGCTTTCTTTTTATGTATTTATTTTTTATTTTTATTGCACTATCACAAGTACAGACCAATGAAATGCACTTTCTGCATTTAGCCCATCGCCTTGTGCAGCAGTGGGGTGCGTTGTGTGGTGCCAAGGAAGCAGTGTGGGGTTAAGGGTCTTGCTTAGGGACTCAGACTGTCAGTCTGCGGGAGTCCTCCCCCATGCAATAAGCCACACTCCCCCATGGAAAAGTATTCCAGCTAAAATCGGCACAGCCATGCTTGTTTTGATATGGCCTTCCGCATGTGGTTCATGTGTTGGCATCATACACGTCACTCACTATTGAGGCAAACGCAACTGCTGGCTCCTGGCAAGATATATTTTCAGGAGTTTCTGAATTCATAAATCTCATAACAAATTGTCTGGCTTGCAAAAGATATCTGTTTCTGGATGGAAGCCAACATTTGGACATGAAATGTCAGCACAGCCAGACATTTGGAATCAACTTCAGAGTTTTAATTTGCTTTGAAATTAATTTTGGACATTAGTGATCAATGTCCATGCTGGTTTTCTTGAGGAACAAAATATTTGCTCTCTACTTCAAACTGCTGCAAACCCCCCTCTCACAAGAACCTCCCAATGTGACATGGGATCTGACTGTGCTTGGGGACAAAGTCATCTACCAACAAAAAAAAACATGGTCCATGCCGTGGAAGTTCTACTGGAGTGCAACAATGGGAAAAATTAAGATAGCGTGACTAAATAGACTTCACTCCTCAATCCCTGCTCAAGTAAAGTAGTCCTGAAACCATGTTCAGAACCAGATTGTTGCAATGTCTGTCCTCTCCGAGTCTAAATAAGAAGAATAAGTCAGACTTGGAAGCCTCAATCCTTCTGGTGAGGCCATTTAAACACAGATTCATCCAGCCACACAGTCTTGGCTAAGCCTTCTCAAACTTTGAAGATGCCTCATCCTTCCAAAACAAATCAACAGCTCCGGCAGATTTACGGAGTTTCCAGCTGAAAACAAATATGATTTTGGATTAATTTATGTGTTTGATATTGTGTAAATCAAGTTATCAATAAGCTAATGTAACTGCATGATAAGCAATGCTGATCTGTTTTAAATTTCTGTTTAAAAAGCTAAAACAAACCTTATTTCAGTAAGGGTTTAAAACATAGCATTAACCTTTATGTGTTTGCTGATATGTCCATTACACTCAAAATTCTCAAACCATAACCAAAGAGTCCTTTCTAACTGAGCCCCCTCATGTCAGCTAGCTTCTAGTTACATTATCTTCAAGTCAAACCTAGACAAAGAAGATAAGTGGTCTTTACCTTCAGTTAATCTTACATCTGGAATCTAATTCTGAAATCTAAATGTTAAATCTATATTTATACATCTCAAATCTAAACCTTGAATCTCAGATTAAAATCTTAAGAAGATATGCTTATTAAACACACCCTTTTGACAGCTTAATTTTAGGCCCAATCCTAGCACCTAGGAACACCACTGGTGTTCCTTAAAGGTATAGAGGACAATCTCTCATTTCCGGGTGGATCATCTAAATAAGTGCTCCTATTAATTTTCAGTCATTCTGATTGTATGGTTATGTAAGGCCACCCTACATGCTCGTCTTGTCAGCTATTTTTTTCTGAGCATGCGCACTTTCATGAGTGTATATGTGGTGAGCTACAGTTTCAGCCAGTCAAAAAGAAACTTCATACATTTTAAATAATATAAGCCAAGGGTCTTCGGCTATGGTCCACAGGATCCATCATCCTCCACGTTTTAGATGTCTCTTCACTCCAGCTAACTTAAATTAAATTATTAGATCCCCTCCTCAGCAGCCACCAAGGGCTAAGGAGGCCTATTAAAGGGGCCTATTGAACTCCCATTTATTTAAGTCAGGTGGGTGAAGGTAGGGAAAAAAAAAAAAATGAAACAAGCAGGACAGTCGCTCCTAAGATCAAGAATTAAGGACCTCTGGTCTAAGCACTTATGCATGTGCCTAGATTGGAAGGCACATATATGATTTATGTGACTTTAAAAACTTAATCTGCTTAAAACCAATGTAAAACTGAATATACATCTGAATCTGCAGGAGAAAGAAAGACAGGTATTTCTTTCTTTGGTATGAGAAAGGTATTTGAAAAAAAATAAAATATGCCCAAAAAGGTGTATGGGCTAGGAAAAAAAGGCCCAATGCATGTAATGTAATGTTGTTCTTAGTAGTCAATACTTCAGCACATCTGACCTCTAAAAGTCAGTCATGTCAGGTTGTCAGCGTCAAATATTACAGCTATTATCAACACAACCAAAATGTATTAAAGCATTCAGTACATCTTATCAGCATTTAATTAGCTGTTTCAAAATGTGTTAAATAGACTATTAGCATCCAATTACACGCTTATGAAGGGTAAATGAGCTGTTCATCTGCAGATTGTGATACGGAGGGTACATAAGGCTTTGATGAACTAAAATAACCTTACTTTTAGCAACAGTTTTAAATGTTGCATGCAAAAATTTAAAATTAATAAAAAGAAATGCCTTCTTGTTTGGGTTTTTTTTCCTCCTAATCTGTGCTGAAATAACTGCAGTGGTGATTTGAGTCATTGCTCAAGAAAAAATGGCAAGAAAAAAGCTCTATAAAGAAAATAGTCTGGTATCTTTCTTCTTCCAATACTGCATAGTCTCTAAGTGGATTTCTGAATGCATATCATGCAGCTGTTATGTTATGCAGGTGGCATTTCCCTTGTGAAGTCAGCAGTGCAAAGTGGGTTAAGAGCTTTTGAATTAAGGTTAATTATGCACATTCATGTTTATCCATTTTTCTTTAATCAAAAGATATAAAGAGTACATTCAAAGCAAATTCTGATTGGTTCTAACTGTAGAGATATAACAGCACACAGTAATTTCTCTACAGTTATGTGTATAGTAAAGAACATAATGAAGAAGTCTCAAGACAGGTTCTCTGAAAATATGAATGAGCCTTAAACTTACAGCTGGTTTGTTTTTCTGAAATGAGTCATGTGCTCCACAGCAGCTTTGCTTTTTATCATTTTTTGAGAGGAAGCTGTCATATTCTATTTTAATGGTGCTCATTTTGATTCATTCAATTTCCCGTAATATACCACCCTGCCAGATTAAAGTGGAAGGCATGTCATATTCTATATCGTACGTTGCCTAATTAATCAGCACTTACCTCTATCTGTTGAAAGCATCTACGGGGAGTTTCTGTCTTGATAGAAATCCCTTCATAGCAAATGCTAAGATTTGCTATTGCAACATTGAGATTCTGCAAAAAACAGGGAAACAAACATCTAACACAAAACATAAAAAAGAAAAAGCAATTGGCCAAAAAAATATATATAAAGAAAAAGGAGTTTTATTAAAGTTAAAAGACTATATTGAAAATGAAAATTAAACTGAACAGAGCAAGTATGCTTACACAACGCTGAT